TACAATATTCACAGAAACCAAAGGGCTGGAAGAGGCTGCTGGGGAAGGCTTTAGAGTTAAGCTCCTGGAGTGAGCACCACTGGCTCCTGCCTCTCCCTTATCCTTCCTGCCCTGGAAGGTGCTAATGAGCTGTGAGGAGGCTCAAGCCTGGACAGCAGAAGGAAGGTGGTATTATTCCTAGAGAACTCAGAATGGGGCCCTCAGAGGTGGCTATGTCAATAAGAACTAAGTAACTACAGGATTAAACAATCTTGTCGGAGCCTTTAACTGCTTTAATAAGATATTCAGGCTGAACACTCCAAAGGCCGCCTCTAAGTTTCTAAAAACAATGCTCAGGTCTAGCTCTCATTTGGCTGCCTGCGGTGCTGTATCAAGCAGAGTTAGTGAAAGCCCCAAGGCCCATGGGATGTCCAAAGATTATTCCATAAAAGTAGGGGCCATGTTTGGCTTTGCCACACTTTTCTTCTTGGCTCCCTCCTTCGATGATCCTCCTCCTCCTCCATGCACCTCCCCCCGACCCCACATCCATCCCCACTATCACTCAACATACTTCACCCACGTAGGTTGGTCTTAGAATGAAAGGCATGTGATTGCTTCAAGTAATGGTACTAACAATGCCCTAAGTTTCTATTTAGTATCTGTCAGGCACTTAAAGTCAGTACTGCCCCATGCCCCTCCCACTATTGTGTGTGCATGTGGGTAAACTCAAGGTTAACAGGTTACAATAGAGAAGAGCTCTGGGGAGGCTGAATGGAGGTAGAGGTGGGGAGGTTAAGGCCTCACATCTGGAAGCTGGGGAGGACACCGGGGGTCTCAGCAATGATGCTGACACTAACAAGGGCCTCTTGCAAGTTTCTCAGAAAGCGTCTGACTAGTCTTCTTTCAGGAACTGGTTTATCAGGGGCTGTGGGTAAGAGGAGGAAGTTGCCCAGCCCGCCTCAGCTCAGCTACTATCTGCTTGGGAAGGGCTGTGGATCCACCCCAGAGGGGCTGTGCCGCCACCTCAGATCCTTCCCTGGAGAAGCCTGGGTTCAGGGTTTCAGGAAGCCTGAGTCCAGTCTGCCCCTCCAAGGGCACCTCTGGAGATGGGGGGGAAGGGAGAGGGATGCCCAGGGCAGGCATTATAGAAGCAGCTAGGGTGGATGGGAAAGGAGCAAGGAGAGAAAGGCACTTTGGATTTGGAAACAAGAAAAAGACATGAGGGAGGAAGGAGTGATGAATCCAGACCAGGATCAGAGCCCTCACTGGAGCCAGCCCGCTGGCTGCACTTCAGTAACCTCTGTGAATGAAGAAGCAGAGGGCCGTCAGCCAAGAACACTGGCTTCTTGGCCTTGGTCACTTTCAGAGCATAGGAAGGAGAAGTGGGGGCATCGCCTGTGCAAGGAGCCCACCCTACTGGCAGAGACAGACAAACAGACAGACCGTGTCATTTGCACTCCACAGAGACAGCTCTGCTATAGATCCTTCCCCTGCCTGGGACTTGCTTAAAGCAGAGACCCCTCATATTCCAGGCCAGCTACACTAAACATCTCTTTTAATTAGGATGGGATTAAGGGGCTAAATGACTTTAACCAGGGTGTCTGCATTCCTGGGAAGTCTTCTGCCTTCCATTTAGAAGGAAAGATGTCAGCTTTGAAGGAATCCCAGGTTACTTAAGTAATTGCCATAATAAGATTGAGAATGAAGGTGACCTATACAAACATGATAAATACACAATTTTCTCTGCTCAGAAAATGAATTTTGATTATAACTCAGCACTTGCCTCAGGCCCTAAAATACTGTCAGCATTATCAGGAAATCCCAGGAAAGGACGAAGGGCAAAAATGTTTCCACAAAAGAAAACAAAGCCAAAAACACAGTCTTCCCAGCCCTCTTAGGTAGCTGCGTGCCACCTAGAACATTGAAAGTGAGGTTGCAGTCCCTGTGTCCTTAGTCATCAACCCAGGTACCAGCGTGTCCTACAGAGTGTGGGGAAGCACCACAGATCAATAGCTATTCTGGGTTAACATTGCCACAGCTTTTTTTTCTTTGAAAGAATTTTTCCCTGTATGGATCACAGCTTATTATATCCTAGGCATATTTCTGTGGTCTGTCTATGGAAATTAATGCTTACAAGGAGCACTTTTCTTTTGAGGTTTTATGTATTTTTAATATAAGTGATGGGAGCAGCAATGCGCCTGTGGAATTGGTCCTTTAAAAGCTCTGCAAATGACTGTTAGCCCTCAGGTTTGAGAAGCAGGTAATATGCACCTGACGCACCACCTGGATCATGGATGAGCACAAGGTGTTGCCTGCATCTCCACGGAGGCAGCCTGGGCTGCAGAGGTGCCTCTGCCTGGCACGGCCTCTGTGAATCTCGTTTGTTCTGCTGCACCCTCTGGTTGCATTAGCAGCACTCAACTTGCTTTGCTTACCTGCAGTGAAGCTCATCTGAGCCAATCTCTTAAGTAGTTTTTTATGGAAAGTAGAGAGCCAAATGAGAATGTATTTGAAAAAGTGAGCCATGGAAAGTAGCCTCTCAAAGCATATGTCACCTATTTTTATGTTACTGCTTATGCCTTATAGCATTTCTAAGTCAGCTAAAGGCTTTAAGTGACAACTTTTGAAGTTCCTGATGAATCCCTACATATTATGTGCAATAACATAATTTCTTTGAAGGAGAGTGTTATAAAGCACATCCACCTCTAGTATCTCTTTTCAGCCTCACAGAGCCATGGAGGAGGCAGGATAGGAATCTGTACATTCATCTTGAAAGGCTCAGAGAGGTTGAGTCTTGAGGCCACACAGCTCATCAGAGCTGACCCATGGCCTCCAACCTGACTCTGGACTCCTGGACGCAGGCAGCAGAACTGCTTGTCAATATCCAGGCACACATCACTGAAAAATATACGCAAATGCACAGCACCCACCCCACACCAAGATCTGAGCGCCCCTCTGCTCCTCCATCAGCAGCAGTAGGCAATGAGCCACAGAAATCCAAACTTTGGGAAAGCTAAATCTCATAAACAATTTTCAAAGATATTGAAATGCAAAACAGGAGTAAACAAAATGTCTTGCCACAGGGAACTAACTAATGTAAAGTGACAAAATAATGGGAGTTTGAATGTGCTCTCAAAAGTGGCCATGAAATGGAATTCAGAATCACATTTTAATATGTACACCATACACTTGCTTGGCCAAGGGTGACTAGTGGTGAGTTCTCATTTATAAAACTAAGCCATAAAAGAAATAGTGAAATGAGGAGAAAGAGAGAGAGAGAGAGCAAGAGAGAGCACGGGGACAGAGAGGGAGAGGTTGCGTGAGATGGTGTTAACCACAGCTTGGGTACCGCAAAACGCCAGCCAGGACTGGTTGTGACAATGGCCCCAGGGGCTCCAGGCAGCTGTCCCTTCTAGGGACTTGCAGATATTGGGGGGCGGGTGTTGGAGGCACCCACCAGCGTTGACCTGCAGTGATCTGACCGACAAGAGTCTAACTCTTTCTAGAAGTTTATAAAGTGATGAGCAACAAGCAACTCTCTTCCTGCCCAAGATCAGTCAGTGGTCAGAATAACAGATCTGTCCTCATAGAGATTATTCCAGCACATTCTTCCTACAGGCGTGCCCTTCCCCCTCTCTCTCAGCCCTGGGTATAGTGAGGACAACTCCCAATGAGTCCGTCATTTATTTTAGCTGTTTCGTATTTGGGGAGTTCAGCTACTCCCTCCCCCCCCCCCCCCACCCAACCGAGGGAAACGGTAAAACCCCACTGAAAAGTTGGAGGTTTTTTAGTTGTTCCGAAGGAGGGAGAGGATAATTTGATCCGCCCTTTGAGGAGGAGAGAGGGGGCCCACGAGGACACCAAATTTTGTATTCGATTAAAGGTTTTTCCTTGGGGAGAAAAATAAAGAGAAAGACGCCCAAAACGGTG